CACACACACACACACACACACACACACACACACACACACACACACACACACACACACACACACACACACACACACACACGTGACACGAACATAAAACTGTGACGAACAGGGGGTTCCAAAATTTTGCGACCTCGTGGTCATCACAGGGCTGGACTTGTTTCTTCTGAAGGGGCCCACCAGGAACTTATTTTGGGTATACTCTCCAAGTTACTCCAACACAGTGCTGGAGACTCCTTTCCAAAAGGGATCTTTTTGTGGGCTTCAGCACATTTTCAGGAAAAAGAAGGGTCAAACTTGCAATCATCTTAGAATATAAGACGAAAAGATGGAGATCAAGGCACCAAGTTTCTTCAACCTTCGGTAAAATTATGTGCGCGCGTGCTCATCCGCTAAAAGTTAGTCTCCACTCCAAGTCCAAAGCGAACACATCGAATCAGCAGAGAGGAGCAAATACAATACCAGAACGAAATGCAAGCATCACGTGCAGGCAAGTGGCGAAGGGTTACCATACACCAAAATACAAAATACATATTCCGAAGCACGCACGAAAATGGTAATAAAGAGAAGACACAGCAAAACCTCCCTCTCACAGGGGCAGACAAGCACGATTGGAGCACTGCCCGATAGATTATAGAGATTCCGATCACATGCAGATCAGTCGAGGATGCGATTGCGGAGTAGGAGAGTGCAATCTCCTCAAAGTTGAAGCTATTATCATAATGGCACCTCTCACAGAAAAAGGAAGACGGAAAAAACAAGTGACAGGCAGCTCGAATGGTGGAGCACTGTGTGCACGTAGTCTGCAAAGGGGAGTACACAGACAGCAGACAGGTCATACCGTCGTCACCTGAATACCACGCCCGGCCATTATGGCTCGTATCTAGGGAGAAGTGACACTGAATACAGCAACAATGGCCGGGCGTTCTATTCGGGTCAAGACGGTTGCCTGCACCGAGACAGCACGCAGTGACCAGACAGTGAACTCTGGACTGAGGATATCACATACAACAGCTTACGACGTCATCCATTACAAGTGTTTGCTTGCGAAATGCGGTCCTGACGGAAATTAACATTGAGAACAACAACTTGCCCGTATGCGGATAGCCCGCAACCTGCTGCGGTACTTGGGGGCTAATCAACTACTAACTGTAATTAACAGCCTGATCGATTCTAAGCGCTGCAGTTAGCATGAGCACGAGCTCAACACATACCGGTTTCCGCAGGCCGCAACTACGCAGGACTATGTACGACCAGTTTGCCTTCCATGAGAGTCGGTAAATCTCTAGATCTCTAACACGTTCACGCCCGCCCCCGACTCGTTAAGGTGTTCCATTTCCCAACTCTCTACTCCGCTAGCTAGGGCGTTGCCCCCCCTCTAGCTACGGCATTCTCCCCCCACCCTTCTCCAGCCCTCGACAACCACCTCTCCCGTCCCGTCTCCTCCCCTCCCCTCCCCCAGTGCCCCTTCCAAAGCGCGGATGCGCGGCCCACCCTTACCTGGGCCCGGTTAACACGCTTCCCAGCTGAAAGCGAAGATTTGCGTGAGTTTCAGATCCTGGGAGTCCACGGTGACAATTCCGTGTCTCTTGGGGGTGAAGTTGCCCGGTTCCACACGGACTTCAGTCCTGATGTTTAGGTTCCTGACTTGGTTGCAGACGCTTACTACAGGGGAAATGAAAGTTGCGCCCTCCTCGAAGTTGGCATCAAATTTACCGACCTTGACGACGGGAGCGTCAGCCGTCCCTGGCTGCCCGCTGAAGTAATAGCTCGTCTGGAGGACTCCCTTAACACCCTCGTCCAAGTTAGCATACCCGCGCAAGATGATGTCCACAAGAGTGAAGGTGAAGCCTTGAGGGTAATTCAGCTGGAGACTCACGACGCACTGCTTCCGCCGATCGCCGAGTGCTTTGTCGGTGACAGCAGTGAAGTCGCTAAACATGACCGTGAGTGCATGTGCGTCATCTGACACGACGGCAGTATAAGTGCCTTCCGGACATCCATCGCCTGCAGCACTGACGTCGCCAACGGTCACTGAGCCAGGAGGCGGAGATATAGCATAGCCATGGACGGCTAGCTGAAGGATGCTGAGCAACAGCACGACTGCCACTGCCGCCATTGAGGGGAAGCGGGATCGAGACTCCCTGTGCGTCGCTGTCAGTCTTCGTCTTCGTCTTCGTCTTCGTCTTCGCCTTCGCCTTCGTCTTCGTCTTCCGCGTTACTTCGTCTCCTTCTTGTTCCGTGCAGGAGAAGGAGGAAAAGCGGCTATAGCTGCAGAAACTCCTCTCGTGACAGATGCCCTGCTCGCCTTTCCGGAGACATGCCGGGAACAGCTGCCACTCCACTATCGAGCACAGCGATTTCCACAACACTCGAGACGCGCGGCAGCAGACTCGATCGTAAGGGACGGTCCGAATATAAGGACGGGATTCGTCCCTTTATATACTAACCGAGAGACATTAGCATATTGCCGTCCTGCCCTCCATTCGCTCGCACAGGAACAATTAGAATAGCAGCCAACAGCCTTGTGGTTGAAATGTCCACGCACGCAACTTCTGTCAAGAAACAGATCATGAGTTCAAAACATCGAGAAATCAAGTACTGCTTTCTTGTATGTGCAGTAGCTCTAACTGATTGGAAGCGAAAAAAGCAGGAGAGTTCCGCTCCCCACTAATAGACTGGAACCATTTTCAATCTGGGTTACTAAACGGGACTGCTCCTATCAACCCGTTCAATATTCCCCCAACTTGAAGCCAAAAAAAAAAAAAGGAGGTGTGTCGTAATCTGTCTCGTATCCAGCGGCCTATCTCAGTTGGTAAGGCACGCAGGTGGCATTCAGGAGGTCGTGAGTTCAATCCCCATCGGCCTCATGAACCTTCCTGGGCATGCTTGGCGCCGGCCACGTAGAGAGAGACCACTGGATCCTGGATCCCCTGATCGGCATTGAGCAGAGTCTGCTGATGTTCGTAGGGGAGGGGATTGTCCTGCTGGCATGGTCCCTGATGCTACGGGCTGTCCCCTAGCCGGTATCGCCCACCTGCAGCTCGGGAGCAGGCCCCGCATGTTCTCTCCTGAACACGGTGGGGTTCCCCATATGTGTTCTACAATTAGTAGATGGTAGGTAGGTAGTGTGAGGTGAAATTGAGATAAGAACATAGCTTTTGAAAAAAAAAAAAAAAAAAAAAAAAAAAAGTCTCGTCCTTTTCCTTCATTTATTCGTGTGGGATTATTAATTCTTTACATCTCCATAGGTCGTCATAACCATGGGCACCGCACCCCCCCATCGGGAAGTTGCTTGGCACGCTCTGGTAAAGCTTCATCCTGATGCGGGACCCCGGGCTGAGTCCCACCAGGGACGGTTTAGTCTTCCTTTCTGATAGTTTTCAGCGTGGCCACAGTATGGCCGTGGGATCTTCAAATCGGATGGTGGGAACTGGTGCGTACTCTAAACCATGTCTAAACCTCCACTAGCAGGACTTGGCCTCTGGCTCTCTTTGCCTCCCTGCTTCCGCCCCACTACCCCAACCATGGCCACATTACGGCCCTGAATACACCGTGTCGCGGGATTTCCGTGCTGGGGTGGGTTGAAGTACTCATCTTGGGGCTTCATTTCCACCCCAGCCTGCTTAGCCTTATGGTTAGGTGTAAACCTGCCAAGCTGGTGGTTGTGTGTTGGAGTCTTGTATTCCAATTGAACGTGCTTTTGTGCAGTAACCACCATAGAGCTTTTTTTTTTTTTTTTTTTTTTTTGGGAAAAAGGCTCCATCTWTTGGKGGGGRGCRSCACCTGCTGGAAACTGGGTCCAGCGTCCCATAGATACATCCATATCCTCACAATTTGGCACAAACTGGGAACCGGGCCCAGCGTCCCATAACGAGTACGCTCAGAAAACTTCAACAGAAAATTCATGAAAATGTTAATTGGCCTAAGGATGGAATTTTGGAAATTGAGATACCGGGGCCATTACCCGGCTTTGGCTCGAAAAAATTGGAGCTCCTTCAGACATGTCTAGGACAATCTTCATGATTAAGCAAAATTCAGAAACGACTCAGAAACCCCCCCATCAATCCACTATACCTCACTCCGGCAAGACTGACTGCAGCGGRGCCACCATCTCTGCTGCTGTTATGCCATACTCCCATCCTACCAGCTAGCCCCCTCACTGGTAGAACGCGTGGTAACCCACCATCCTCTCCCACTCACCTTACTCTTACCATCGTTCCTGAAGCATGTGAATAGGCCACAGAGGTCCTACGATTATTCCAAAAACCTCGAAATCCCACACAAACCCTTCGAACGTTCTCCGAAACTGTCGTACTCCCTACCGATCTCTTCTAGGTCTCACACCCCCACTTTCTGTTGGGTTACAGGGCAGTGCGACTCACCCCAGCTCCGACCAGCGTCGTCCCGGCAGCAACCCTGAGTTGTCCCGTGGAACGCCCACCCCAAGACATCCCCAGATCTCTCTATCAGACCTCATGCTCCTGCATCGCAGGTTACAGGGCAACACCCCAGCACCGGTCAGCGTCGTTCTGGCATCGAACAACCGCTGGTCACTGAGTATAACAGCATTGAAGCCACCTAAGACGAGTTAGTAGGGATTCCAGAGTCCTGAAAAACATTCCTAGGACCACTACGCACCCAACTCTTTTTGGGACATTCAAATTTTTTTTTAGAAAAATATAAGGGGGGGGGGGGGGCAAGACTAAATCTGCCTACTATCCTAGATTCCCTCTTCCAACAGATGGGGCGTCGGTCCCGGCTTTCAGTCCTCGTACCCGAACTCACGTGATCTCATACCCCCTTTTGCTAGGGTAACAGGACACCACAACCCTCCCCAGTACCGATCAACCTGGCTCTGACGGACAGGAAGTGTCGTCCTCCCTCGACAATTCCCTTAGCCGCAAGCCCCTAAACAGGTTACAGGGTCAAAACCCCGGTGCCAACTATATCGAACGATCTGGTTATGCCTTCCACCCTCGGCATAACTTCCCAGGCCTCAAGCTCCCCCTGGCTATGTATCACCTCCGGTCGTGACCGCGGGCCATTTGACCGCACGCGGTCGGCATCCCGACCGCAGCGGGCGGCGCCCTCAACCAAGTGCAGTCGAAAAACCTCGACATTCTTAAATCCTGGGATAATAGGCCAAAAAATAAAATAGAAATATGGGTTTGTAGGTGTTTGTGTGTTCTAAGTTTTATTTTGTGATTTCTTTTTCGATTTTAAAAAAATAAAAAACAGAAATCCCTCAGGCAAAAGTTCTTCACTTTATTCTTTTAGTAAGAAAAATAAAGGATTTTGTTTTATTTTTATCTCAAATTTGGTAACGAATTTGGATATGACCCCAAGGCAAAAGTTGTTCATTTTATTTTTGGTCATAACATATATTGTTTTCAGATTTTTCTGAATTCGTTTCTTTTTTTCTTTTTTTTTTCATGACCGCGGACCACGGTCACGACCACGGCCTTGCGGCCGAGAAAGCGGTCCGCGGTCGTGCCCGCGGCGACTGCAACCGCGGGGGATTCATAGCCCCCTGGGTTATAGAGGAGAGGCTCCAGCACTGACCTGTGTCGTCCCAGCAGCGTCCTTCTAACCTACTTACCCTAACAAACAACCCTTTTTGTTGAGAATCTTCTTGCTACCTTCCTTCCTTCAAATCTAGCTCCCCCTCCTTCGGCTCACTGTGTAGCCATCGAAGACACTCCTTCCCTCAAAAAACAAAATCCTAACACATTGCTATAAGAAGCCACCCCCTTGCCTTCTCTCCCCACCCGCCAGTACTGATCCGACCCTAAATCAGTCCGGCTAAGAGACAACAATCCCCCAATACGCCTCCCCCCTCCAAGAATAACACCTCCCACCTTGTGAAACCCTCACGGGGGGAGGATCCAACCCTCAAGGAAGACCCTATAGATATACACAGCAAGCCACAATTACACCCCTCAAGACCAAAAAGTTGAGATTAGCAAACATAGAAAGTCAATCCGAATCAAAATTTACCGCACGGTGTTATGATTAGCAACCGTAGGGTTTTGAAAAAAATACTACAATAGCCTACTTTTAGTCATCGAAGATCAGAATGAGTTTATATTAGAAATCAAGAAAAAAATCAAGACCATACGATCAATCATAAGGAAAACTATTGAGTGACAAAATTTACGAGAAACTATACAAAGTTTTAGGTTTAGATATCCATAAAGGATTTTCGAATCAGATTCCCAAACCATAGTTTGAGAAACGTTTAGCAAAGATGTATGGCACGAAAAAGTTTGAGAAAATATTTTCAAGAAACCGTATTATCAGAAGGAACCACCAACAAAAAACTGAATCAGATAATCATCATTTAGAAAGAATATCCAGAATTACAACCTAAAAAAACAAACGAGTCAATTCAGAATACAGAAGAGAAAATTCAAAAAACCTAATTAGATCATCATCATTGATAAACATCAGCTACGCAAATCGAAGTAATCCAGATTGGTGAATATGACTGAAACCATTATACACATATGATCAGCGAGAGGGACTATCCAAAGAAAAGTCAAACTCATCCTAAAGATGCAATCAATAAGGCAAAAAAAACTCGACCACAGCGCCGTTGCACTCCAAATGCCCTCGTGACGAAAAACGCAGCTGCGGCCGATACCTCTTGGCCCTTCTTTAAAAAACACGGACTCAATATCGCCTCCAATCCTCCTCCCACTCCACGCGAGGACGTGCTCCTCCCTTTCAGCCTGCATCAGCCGACCATCCTCCACAAAACTACGCAGGCAGAGAAGCAAAGGCAACCAATATGCCAAGAATCTTATGAAGACCCGCCCCCTTTCAAAGACAGACTTCCCTTCATCCAGCGTTCTGGCCTGCAGCATCACTAGGTGAAGCGTGAAGCCAGAGATGGCACCACCTGTGCTTTCAAAAGGCAGGCCACACCAAGTCTCGCCACATCATCTTTACCCTCTCGCTGTCAAGTCTCGCGCCCACAGCCCCCACCCGCCCACCGCATCGCCAGACTCTCCGTTAGCTTTTGTGTCGCGCCACATCCGCTCCGACGGTGTGCCAACGGGGGCGCAAACCTCCCGGTCGCGTTGTGCCCCCCCCGAGATAGTTACCCCATATGCGTGCGCAGGGGCCATGGTCAACTACACCATTGTCGAGTGGGGTGAACCCGGTGAAGATCGTGGTTGGCTACACCATTGTCGAGTGGGGTGAACCCGGTGAAGATCGTGGTTGGCTACACCATTGTCGAGTGGGGTGAACCTGGTGAAGATCTTGGGGTTTCACTTTCAGCCCATCCCACTTAGCCTTATGGTTAGGGGTTAGCCTGCCAAGCCGTTGGTT